GGCAGGGAACTAATGCCCTTAGCCTATGAAGTTAAGGAGGAAAACAGTGGGCAGCCTAATTATTAAGTCATTAGCTGCTAGTTCACAGGTGCTCCCTCCCACCCAGCATGGGGCTTCTGGTGGGCTGTGTTGTCTGGCTGGGCTTGCCAGACAACACAGCTTCCTTCCCTTCTCCCCACCCCCAAGGGCCTCAGAAGCAGCTCCCAGCAGCAGCTGTCTGTGAGTTGCTGTGTTATCCATTAACCGTTTAACTGATATACTTAGAAGAAGTTAAATGGATACTTTTCTAAACTATATTTATATCCCTAGCCTGGGGAGCAGTAAATTATTTAGCATGCTACTGCTAGACCTGTGTGGGACACCAGACTCCAGTATCCTGTCTTCACAGCTCTGTACAGAAACAATGAAAGGAAAGCAATTTGCCAAATCCTGAGGTGTTGCTGTGCATTCAGTGTACAGGGACACATCAGCAATTTCCCCTTGTGAAAGTGTCTTTCAGCTGAAGATCTCAAGTGCTTTGATTAACAAAGGGTCCCAACAGTTAAGTGTCACAGCTGGGGAAGCCAAGGCCCGAAGAAGAGGAGCCCAGCTTTTTCAAAAGTTGTTGGTGCTCCAGTTTCTGAGGGTGCATCTTGGAGTGCCTTAGCCTCTTTTTCAGAGATGCTGAGCTCCACATGACATCAGTGGGAGCTGGAGGTGCTCAGTACCACTGAAAACAGCACAGTCTCAGGGTCTAAGAGAAGCACTGTCTAATAAAAGATCACTTCTGAGGATAAGAAACTTGCCCAAAGTTACACAGTCTCAGAGCTGTGAGCTGAAGTCAGGGCTTTAAGTGCTTCTTGGCTGTGTATATAGCTCCATAGTGTGGAAATACAGGTTAGTCACTCCTCTGTCACAGGGAAACCACCCCCACAAAGCTGCAGGTAAAGAAAGCTACTGGAGTTTCTGAGCGAGATTTAGTAGCAAGTTACAAAACAAGCAGAGAATGGGTGTTGGCTCCAAACTGGGTGTGGAGAATGCAGCTGTCTCCCAGTGTAAGTGTTTGAATGAAGCTACATATTCGGTGTGCAGGCTGCTCAGACTGTGATCCTTGCCTTGGCCTCTGCTTCTTTCTTCCAGTCTGAATTAATGTACCTCGAAAAAGGACCAGAAATCAATATCTCTGTGAATTAGAAGAAGTGAGGCTCACCGGTGGGACACAGTGAAAGGTGAGGGGAAATAATTCATGTGATTCATCTTGTTTGGGCTCATAGGCCTGTGTGCAGCCAGGGAGCTGTGGGTCTTAAGGACCTCTGGAAATCTGTAGGAGCAAGAAGGTTACTTGTAACAAAAAGAGCTTCTTTCTTACCTCTCCCTGCCTGCCCCCAGCTCCTGGCTACCACCCTGTTCTTCCTGCCATATTGAATGTTTAGTGTTATCCTGATTCATGAGTAGATAGCTCCTTCAGCTTATGCTGAGACTAATCACAGCCTGTAACATATCACTTCTGGGTTCACCGCTGAGCATGCGGGGGCCCCCCCCACACTTCTGAGGGACACTCCATCACAGTGTTCACAAGCTGCGACTGGTACCTTGAGGTATGTAGAAAAAACATTTAAAGCTGTGTCTTGGCTGAATCGCTGATCCTCTGAATCAGCATTGAATCTTGAGATATGGATTTGGCCCAATCGAATTGGGGACAGTGATCCAAATCAACAAATTGAATCACTGTCCCTGATTCAGGCCAAATCTGAATCTGAATTGAATAGGGCCTGTTTCGCACACCCCTACTGGAAAGAAGCCCAGGCAGTGCCAGCATATCTAAAAAGTATCAGAAGTAACTGCTAATTCAGGAAGGTCAAGTCTCAGGGTGTGCACAGACACACATATCATTTTCCTAAGGGATGATGCTGGAGGCTGCATGGTAGAATAGTAGGAGATGGAGAACTGACTCAGAGAACAGGGTTGGTGAGACTCTGTTGCCAAAAATGTCAAAGTACTCTTGCATGTCACAACTATTCTTCAGGCAGATGAGGACAGCATAGAAGTCTAGCTCTCTTACTGCTTGGTGGGTCACAAGGACTGTCATAGGGGAGGCAGCATGTAGCCATATCTCCTACAGGAGGAATCAGCCACTGTTGGGAATGAAGACACCTCCACAAGAAGGAAGAAGAGCAGGATTATTGGCTTTAGTGTCTCTGTGAGATATGCTGGGACTTTTGTTATGTAATTAGAACCGAGCAACAGAACTCAACTGCTAACAGTCTGCTTTATCAGGTTCCTTTCCCAAACCCCAAAGATCACAACACAGAAAAGCAAAGCAGCCTGGGCTCTGTGCTGTCCCCATCTAAACAACTCCTAGCACAGCTCCTCTTGCCACACAGGAGCCTCAAGGGCTCAAGCCACATACTGTCATAGGGGCTTTGCCCACAGATCAAAGGAACTTGCTAGCCTTTGCTAACAAACAGTAAAAGTACCAATGTTCTCATGTGATTTCCAACATGGCTTCTCTGTTGGGCAGGGAATATTTTCTGATGGTTTTGCATATGCAGGAAGAAGGCAGCTTGCATTCTAGGAGAAGGTCTCCAGAGCTCTACTGACATCCCAGGTATTGAGCCCAGCTGGTGCACAGGTGGTTTATAGGAAACGTGCAACACATGGAACACACACCTTTTTATAGGAAAGGTGCAACACATGGAATGAATGTACCAGGATATTCAATTTTATGAACAAAACAGACAGGTAGTCTGTCTTTTGCACTCACTCTTTTATATCTCATGATGCTGGAGAAGACAGCAGCATTTCCAAATATTTCTCTTCATTGTCTCTAACTGGATACCATTAGCTAAACCCTGTTTGCCACTGGGTGGCCCAGAGAATCTAACAATGTATGAAATAGGTGTCCTGTCTATTAAACTGATACTCCTCTGTCATCTCAATCCCTTGGTTGTAAATTCTCTAGCCTCATTCAATTAAAATGAAACCATGCTTTCTAAACTGATTCACTCATTCCCATCGTATTGTGCATGCAGGGGAATAAGTGTTAGTGCCAGGAACAATCTTCTCAGTGCAAGTCATGCCAAACATTGTAAGTCTCTTACTGATTCAGAAATAGTCTTGGGCACAATATGCTGTCTTGGAGCATCTACAGTGCTAGAGGGTCCAGTTTCTCAAAGAAAATAAAGGAGGGAGGTTGAACTCATGCTCATCTACAACTCATGAAAATCTTTCTATCCAGTGTTTACAGCTTCAGACAGCACTAAGGCATATCTCAAGGGAAAGCCTTTGGATCCTACCTTTCAGGAAAGAAATCTTATAACATCTGTAACTCAGCACAGACATATTCCATGGTCAATAGAAGTGGCCAAAGTTATAGAATTTTACACCCTGGACTGTGGCTTCTTCCTCTCTGATAGGGATGGTGTGCTCATGAACACGATAGGTTGCAGTAAAGATGCTGGGATGTGATGGAATATGGCATGCTGGGAGCAATAATTTACATGACTGTGTTAAAAACAAAAAATTTGCAGCTTGCTCTGTTTTATGCTGACCAAAGGCTAAGGATATTTTTACAGCAGGGGTGACCAACCTGTGGCATGGGCAGCCTCTGCGTGAGGCAAATGATGGATCAAGGAGGGGACAGCCTGCAAGCAGATAGGGTAGGAAACAGAAAGAAGAGCAGCAGATCCAGCAGAGGAAGGGGATTGGAGTGGCACTCGGGGGGAGTGTAGGACTAATTTGTGGCATAGCTTCCAAAAAGGTTGGCCTTTGCTGTTTTACAGGAAAAGAAAATCCCTCTGTACTCTGGTGACTGTGTTTCTTTTGGCTTATCTTTTTCATGCTCTACAATAGGAGTCAGTTCTATATGCAACTGCCCTCCTTTCACCACATATCTCTATCATATCCTGCTGAGTGGCAAGATAATAGTAGCTGTGGGGGCTGAGTCCTTGCTCCCTCAGGATGGACCCGCATCTTCCTGAGGATGGGGCTCTCTCTCACCAATGCTTCTGAGGCAAGCTGGGTCCCCCAGGCCTTATCTCCAGAAAGATATGGGTCCATTTTGAAGGAGCCCACATAAGCTATTCTCATGCTGACACTACCTAGTAGGACATGATAGAGGTATATGATTAGGGCCTCTCATACTGTCTTCTATTAAGAAGCAGATCCCTAAAGCAGATTTCAGACTTTGTAGGAACAGGTGAATGAAGCAGGTGTCATCTCTCAAGACTGTTGTTTCAGGCTTTCTGCAGACTGAGGCAGATTACTGCCACATGAATTACACTTAAGTCACATTTTCAAGTTTTTCTTCTCACTCAGAAGGCTTGGAAACATTTTTAAGGGCTTGGGACCTTGCACACAGCCCTCTAGTGACTATGGCCATTTTTATACATGCTTTGGGACATGGTATCAGGCACTTTAATTAGTGAGCCACAATAATTACAAGTGCCCGCACATCACGTGTATCAGCATTCCCACACTGAAAAAATGGTGGCAGGGCGCTTTGAACTAAAACGCATCAAGTGTGTTTTTATGTCAAAGTGCACCACCACCATTTTTTTAGCACAGAGACATGCAGGGACGCTGATACACGTGAAGTGGAAGGCTGCCAAAGCATGTCAATTTCCGTGATCCAGCAAACTCGATTAAACAAGTCTGCTCCAACATGCTGGATTTCTAGTGCATTGGGGCAGGCTCTGCTTACGTTTATAGGAGCCCTATATCTCAAACCAGCCCTGGCAGTGTGAATCTTAATGCTCCCTGGAGGTGTGAAAGCAATTGTGTATGATATTGTGGATAAACCTTTTCACTTCCAAAATGTGACCAGCTGGTGCCGCTTTTGCTATAGCCATGATGAGGTTTAACATCCATGCCTACATTCCAGTGTCTTTGGAACTTCCCATGAAATCCAGCAGAAAGTACCTTTTACTCCACACTCTTCTCAGCCATCTTCTGATGAATTTTATTTTCTGCCATATATTTATTTGAATATGTAAAAATAGATTTAATATTTGAGACAAGCTACAAAAGTTATTGATATCATAACATTCAAGAACATTGAACACTGAACACTTCTACAGGCCTAGTGAGAGGCAGATTCCCACCTGCACTAGAACTGCATTTGGCACCTCAGTTAAGAGATGAGATGCAGAAGTAACTTTTATACCTCCCTTCATGGTCTCTTCATTCTCAAGGCTGTTAGGATTCAAACCAGGCCTCAGCACAAATTAGGGCAGCCTCGGGATAAATCCAACTTATCTGGTACTTGAAGTTCACCATAGGATAGATCACCAGTCCTAGTTGTTCCTTCCCATCTTCGACTAGCCCTCCCAGGCCCCAGAAGATTGGGCATGAAGGACTGGCATTATCAATTCCATCCCACCTGAGGTATTCCCTATCAATGGCTGCTAAAAGGTTTCCTTTGCACTTCTGGAATTTCTAAAAAGATTAAATTAGCTAATGCAGAACCTGGTTCTGGTTTTGAGCTAGTTCAGGAATCTCTGTGCAGTTGTGCTGCACTATATTGTCCATATACATTATAAATAATAGTGGCCCCTATGGCAGTTCCTAGATCAAGATTCTCTCCTTCCTTTGAGAAAAGGGAACAAACTTAAACTCTGAAAGCTCCACAACACTTCTAATTCTGCCTTGCTGAGCTGGGTTCAGTGGAATCAACCCACTGTACAGAAAACACACCAGTTCTGCTTAACTGGTCTTTATTTAGCTTGGATTGCTAAAACATGAAACATTTTGGATTAGAGATATTTTCATATAAAGAACATTGTTACAATTACTTCGTAATGACATTCAGTGGAAAGTTAAGAGTTAAAAACTTGATGAACAACCTGACAAGTTTTTGAACCCAAGACATTTGAAATATGGAGCAGACTGTCCATTTGCCAGTGTTGAAAAATCTGTTTCTTGATCCCGTGAATTGAATAGAAGTGGATGAGAAGTTTTCCCATCCAACAAATGTTTCTGAAAATTCTAGACTTTTCCCCATCCTGCACTGGGGTAAAACTGATATCTTTGAAAGTTTTTCGTAAATATTGAAAGGCAGAAATAGACCTACCCACCCATCTCAAAGTATGGGAGTGACTCACTGTAGATCGTGGGTTACTGAGGTTCAAGTATTGCTCCCAATGAGGCACCCTAAAAAATTACATATACTGTATCTCCCTACTGCAGTGTTTCCCAAACTTGATACCTGAGGCACACTTTTTTTCTGGATTAAAAGTGGCAGCATGATTCACTCGTACACCCAAAAGAGAGAGAGAGAGAGAGAGAGAGAGAGAGAGAGAGAGTGTGTGTGTGTGTGTGTGTGTGTGTGAGTTCACAGGCCAGATCTGGTCCATGAGCTTGATCTCACCCTGTGGTCAGGGTCTGATTCTGTTGGTGGCAGAAAATGTGGAAATTTGATGGCAGAGAAGTAGCAGCAGTGTTAATTGCTACCATTTCCCCACTGCCAGGTTTCCAGACCCATGGGGAGCCCCACAGGCTGGCTGATATGGCTCTACAGGCCAGATCTAACATTGCTAGGGTGCAGCTACACAAGACACTTTACTGTGCAGTAGATTAGTCTACTGCTCAGTAATGTGTCACTGGCTATAGTAGATTAGTCTACTGCTCAGTAACGTGTCACTGTGCAGTAGACTAAATTTCTGTTCATTTAACTTGTACCTGTAAATGCAGGCACTCAATTAAGTGCACAGTAAGTACTGCCCAGTAGCACACATGTAGATACTGACTAGGAGCAAATTTGCTCCCTGTCAGCCAAACCACAAGGGGGCAGCTTCCTGCTTGAGCCAGAGTCACAGGGCTGGGAGTTTATCATGCCCATGGCAGGGAAGGCTTTTTACCTGTCCCAGCCTGGCCTTTAGACCCCTCACCTGACCCTAAGGCCTGTGCCAACTGCTGCCAGCCCCTGGGCATCAGGTCTCAGAGGTGTGAGTCCGTGCTGGCTACAGCAGGCTTGTGATCCCAACTCTGGCCCCCGGGGCCTGCTCCACCACCTGTATGCCTCCCAGGTACTGTGCCCCTCTGCTGAAGGTATGTGACAAGCCCTGGAGGCACCTGGAGTCTCTGGCTGAGCCCCCAGGGTCTGTCAAAGCACCCATGATGGCAGCCTCATCAATGCCACAGACAGTGTCCTGGGGCCCCAGCTGAGCAGAAGGAGAGACTGCTGACCTTACTTCACTGTGGGGCGATGCTGAGGTGCAGATCCAGTGCGGAGAACAAGCCGGGGAAGACACCAGCTGTGACCAATTCCATATCCTCCCCAGAGGGGGCCACTGCCTGGGCAGCCCAGGAGCCATGCCTCTGTGCCCTGAGGCACTGCCAGCAAGCCACACCACGTTGCTGCCTGCAGGGACAGACTTGGGCCACCAGGACTGCCTGCCATCCCCTTCTGGTAAGCCCCACACGGGAGAGCCAGGGAGGCAAGGGAGTGCTATGGCCACCTGTGCCCACGCCAGCTCTGCTGCCCACCCCCGGGCTGCATACCTGGCCTGCCCACCCTGCTTGACCTGGCTTCTGGAGTCCCCCCCAACAACACACAGAGAGGCAGGAGGTAGTGCAGAACTTGAGTGAAAAGCCAGTGCTCTCCCAGCTCAGCATCCAGAGACCTGTCACATGCAGAGACACTTGTTGATGGCAGTGGCAATCTCCTCCTTGGCTGCAGGCATCAGGCTTGTAGTGTAAGCAGAGGTACCCCTCCAGGTGGTGGCACACATTGAAGATAAGCTCAGGCTTGCCTGGGGCACCATCAAAGCTCAGGGTCCCGCACCAGGTTCTCAGGTGCTCCAAAGCATGGCAATTAGCAGCAGAAAGGTATAGTGAGTTGGGCACCCCTTGGTGTGCTAAAACAGCTAATTACTGAGTGCCTGAGGGACTCTCAGCAGGGGTATGCTTGGGATGCAAGCCACATGCCATGGGGGCCACTCCAGAGAGGCCTAACAGGAGGGGAGGACAGGGGCTAAGTGCCCCATGGAGAGAGTGGGGATGGAGGGTTCAGCTGGTGGCAGCCTTTGGCAGGGGCCTCCTGGTCTATTTACCATGGTGCCTTGGCTCCGTTGTGTGCGTGACCCCCAGTTTGAAGCCAGGTGATGCGTAGCCCCCTCAGTACAGTGCATGTTACCTCTGAAATGTTGCAAATTCTCACAAAGACCCTCTTTGTCCTTGCTTTGCAGGTCCAGCAGCTGCACATGGGGTAGAGGCACCAGTCCCCACTGGAGATGCAACTTCAGGGACACCACCACTATCTGCCACCAGCGCCCTCCACACGTACTGCCTCTGCCAGTGGTGCATGCCAGATTGCATCTTCCTGCTGGACCAGTTAGTCACTGTGGCAGAGGAGTGGCTGGTAGACACCAGGCTTTGTGCACCCAGGATGTGGAGCACAAGTGGGAGAGGGATCAAAAGGATCATGCCTTCTGGGACAGGCTCCTCAACCTCAAGAAGAGGCACGCTGCTCTCCTCAAGAGGTTGCTGGAGGCACAGGAATGGCAGGCTGCTGTGGTAGCCTGGGCAATGGAAACCATGGAGAAGGACCGCCAGGTACTGCACGCTATTGTAGCCTTGGCAGTCACCTTCATAGTTTCATAGTTTCATAATTGGTAGGGTCGGAAGGGACCTGAGCAGATCATCAAGTCCAACCCCCTGCCATGGCAGGAAAGAGTACTGGGGTCAAACGACCCTGGCTAGGTGATTATC